GAACTCGTTTCATGTAGAGTAGGACTGACCTTTTTAGATCCGAACTTATCAGGCCAAACGAAATCTGTTGGAAGGTTCTCATTTATCCCTGCACCTATTCGTCTGGGCTTGTCTGATGCTGGAGGGATACGAGAACTCGCTGCCGCTTCTTTATCCATATCGTGGACTAGTCGGGGTCACCAATGTTATTTGTCGTCACTTTCAAGTCAAAGATCGCCAATAAAACTATACTTTTCGTCTTTTTCCTGTTTTAATGACTTTTATTCAAAATTATTATTCTGACGTATATCTCTTTTTTTTTTAATCAACAACATAATATAGAGTATCAGATTATCAGATTAATTGAACAAACATAACTATAGATACTGAAGTATCAACACTATTATATCTATGCTCTGTATCTCCGCAATACTCTCTATCATCTCACACATGTCTATCATGTCACACATGTCTTCACGAAAACTCGGATTTTCATTCTGTGCAAATATCTACTTCACACCTCAACCCATGCTTCAGAATACTGTTTCCACATATGGGGTGCTGCATCAAAACATACGCTGCTGCTCTCAGACCGGAAGCCGATAACGTGTTATTTGTGTCTCATTTTTCCACACTCAGCATTACGAAAATTATCCAAATTGCAACTACCACTACACGGATAAGAGCTTGTGGAATGAAAATCGTGGACCAAAGGGTGTGGACCGCGTGGGTGGAATTGTATCAAAAATCCCGGGGTGCGAGGACTGAAATCATCACTTTAATTCGCAAGTTATATATAATTAACATTATCTGAATTCACCAATAAGCATAATTCACGAAACGAACTATGTCAATAAAAAATCTAAATACACTAGAATTCATAAAATTCTCATAATGTCATAACACACCTGCGTTATGATGGTAGCAAATGTCCATTCAAGGGTATTACAGATGATTTAAGAAAGCGATTTTTATAATAACAGAATGGAGAGAATACTGTTGTAATAATAAAATGATCAGGAATAGGAGATTTCTTTATAATGGTTATTACAATCAGAACTGGTAGATATTTTTAATATCCAGTTTCTCTGAGTGTAAATTGCCGAGTCGACTTTCGCGATCAATATGCTATATATTTTCAGGCATTCTTATAAGGAGATGATTATATATTGCATAATCCTGTGATTAATCGCTCACCTACAATATGGCATTTCACACGACTATGGCATGAATTTTTGATGATCAATTTCGTCATTGATGATAAAAGTTCCTTTCTGATTCATCAACCAAGAATCAGTTCTCACTGACGAAACCCTAATTTCGTCGCACACCAAAATTTTGCCTCTGTTGGAATATGAATAACTTTTTTCTTCTTTGAACGATTAGAATAATTCAGATCACAATGTTCCCTTGCCCAGTCCTTCAGCTATAATCTCGTAATTCTCCAAAACATGAGGCTCTTTATATGAAATCGCTACAGGGTGTTACCTGAAACAATTTTGACAGAAGAGGCATGTAGATGATTCCATTATCTTGAGATATTTCTCGAATTGTCTACTTATCTCTTTCATTCACAGAGTGATCTCAGAAAATTTGTTTTTTGGTTAGCATTCGAAACTTTCTTCCTCGTCGACAGATTTTTGAAATCTCAGGCTCAGTTTGGAGCTTAAATTTCAGATAGAAAGATATTGAGTTCAGAATTGATTCAAGATGAACATTATACAGTGTGTCTCACTTCTAATGGAAGCACCCCTGTATCTTTCGTAATTGTTGAATTAGGATTCTGAAATTTGCAAGGGACGGTAGATATACTGATAATACACATTATGACCAAGTGGAGTCGTCTCAAGTGATATACACTGCTTGCCCACAATCATGGAACAACCCAGAAAAATTATATAAAAGGGCACGATAGGTTGAAAATCTCTTCAGATTCGAGGTCAGGACATCCCTTCTGCTTTCTTCTGCATATTTCAGAATCCAACCTCGATGGAAACGTGAGATACGGGGATGCTTTTATGAGAAATGAGAAAAAATTCAATTTATCTGAACTGTGAGTTCCAATATACTAACTCAACAATTACGAAACATACAGGGGTGCTTCCATCAGAAGTGAGATACAATGTATAATGTTCATCTTGAGTCAATTTTGATCACCATATCTCTTCATCTGACGTTCAGGCTTCGAAATGAGATTTTGAAAATGGGTTGACAAGGAGAGAAGTTATGACTGCAGAACCAGAAAGGTAATTTTTTGGGATCACTCTGTGAATAGAAGAAATAAGAACACAATTTGAAAACTATTCCTAGGTAATGAGATCATCTGCATGCCTCTGCTGTCGATAACGAAAAAAAAAAGTTTTTGTTCATTTGGGATCCTTTTGAAAATTCCGGAATTTTCCACAGTTCCAGTTGACACCCTGTAGCGATTTTATATAAAGAACCTCGTGTCTTGAAGAAGTACGAGATTATATATCGAAGACTGGTACCTTCGGCACGATGATATACTACACTGTTTTACCACTAACAAAACTGATTTTTTAACGCCTCGACACGTGCTTAGCTAACTATGTTAACATCTTCAGGAGAAGATTGAAAAAACAATTTCGATCTTTTCCTGAAGATGCTAACATAGTTAGCGGAACACGTGTCGAGGCGTTGTGGAATCGGTTCGGTTAGTGGTAAAACAGTGTAGTGTACGAGATTATAGCTGAAAGACTGGGCTAGCGAACAGTGTAATCAAAATTTGAATTGTTTTAAGCAGGAAGGGGTTATTCATATTTCAAAAGGGACAAAATTTTGTGGTGCGACAAAATTAGTATTGCGTAGTTCATATCAGGTTGATACGAGAGCGCTGAACGGACATGATACTTTTTCTTTATAATTGCCAGTTTGAACTGGCATTTAGCTATAATTGCCAGTTTGAACTGGCAATTAGACATAATTGCCAGTTTGAACTGGCAATTAGCCAGAATTGCCAGTTTGAACTGGTATTTAGCTTTAATTGCCAGTTTGAACTGGCATTTAGCTATAATTGCCAGTTTGAACTGGCCATTAGCAATAATTGCCAGTTTGGACTGGCATTTAGCCATAATTGCCAGTTTGAACTGGCATTTAGCTATAATTGCCAGTTTGAACTGGCAATTAGCCATAATTGTCAGTTTGAACTAGCATTTAGCGCTTCCGTTCGAAAGGATCTAGTCATGTTATCGCCATCTAGTGACGCCAAAAAACTAATGCGAACGCGTACGATTATTTCGACCAACGCAAAGGGCGAGTGGACTGATAATGAATTATTGGCATTCAATTACTCCACTGTGTCGTTAGAGACCTAAAGTATATTGTTCAACAAGAACGGAATGTTAGTGATTTTCCCCTAAAATGAGATTTCCAGCATGAGCCGTAGGCGAATAATGCTGCAATCATTCGAGTGGGAAATTAGAATTTCCTGCGAGTTATACACCATGATTTTCCTACGACTGTGACAGATAACAGCGACATTCTTGATTTCTTTGTCTTGTAGCCATCTGATCTCCTCTCAAGTAATGGGCATCTATTAGACAGAGCTGTCATTGCTTGAACTGTGACATTCCATTTGCGGGATCCTTTCATACGAAAGCGCTGAATGCCAGTTCAAACTGGCAATTATGGGTAATTGCCAGTTAAAACTAGCAATTATAGCTAAATGCCAGTTCAAACTGGCAATTATAGCTAAATGCCAGTTCAAACTGGCAAATATTGCTGAATGCCAGTTGAAACTGGCAATTATGGCCAAATGCCAGTTGAAACTGGCAATTATGGCTAAATGCCAGTTCAAACTGGCAATTATGGCTAATTGCCAGTTCAAACTGGCGATTATAAAAAAAAAGTATCATGTCCGTTCAGCGCTTTCGTAGGTTGATCCACAAGGATGGTATCCCAATTTTTCGTGAGTATAATATTTCTTATGAAGAATCATCACCTTATCAATTCAATTGAATGATGACGGACGTATGATGTATAATCGAACACAGAATCGATCTCGTTGAAAATTATGAGAATTAGTGAAGGTCTATGATCTCAAATTGAACATTTACAGGCTGATCAACGGTGGATGGCACATTAGACCTTTCTGGAGAATGCAACTCAGGATTATTCTGAGAAGTTGGTGCCCCGAATAATTAGTTGTTTTCTATTGACCTAGAATATTCTCAGCATTGCGACGTTGCTGCTTAAACTTATTGAGAAGTAGCAACAACTTTAATTTTTTGAATGAGACATTCTGTGAATTATTCCATTTTCAGATTCTTCCTGGAGAGCTAATTTCATTGATCTATAATACTTGGAGTCTAGCAGTAAAAATAACAGAGTTTTAGGATGTGAAAGATCGAGATTTTTCAACTTTGGAAATTTTTTGTGTTAAAACAATTCATAATTTTTCAAAACGATTGCCATGTCTCTATCTCAACATTTTATTCACTATTGATTCATATTTAATTGAAAAAAACACAGGGTGGTTCATAATTCAGATTTTTGACCACCAAGTATATTTTCCAATTGAATACTAATTATCTGGGGAATCAAATTTAAAAAAAATCCTACGTTGCGTTCTCCGGAAACGTCTAATGTACCATTCACCGTGAATCATCCTGTGTATGATGATCTGAAATATTCACTAGATCTGAGACGCGTTCTCTTATGGTATATTGTGTAGATGTGAAAAGTTTCTGCTGAGTTGTTGGGTATCATACCTTTGATGTTGAAAACCATCGATAGCGAAATACCTATCGATCAATCACTACCTTTTTCACTTATTGGTATTCCCACTATTCCCAGGTAATCCTTTGTTCAGAATTCTAAATATCGTCCCACTCTTATAAAAACAATATTTTTATTCAACAGTCAACAAACATAACATAATGGAAGATGGCTTGATAAATAATTTGAGCGAACAATAATCTAATGAAGCAAATGTACAAAACTAAAAACTTGTCAGTCAGTCAGCGACTAGTTATTCTATCGGATACTAGTCAGAACGCCTCTCAATGCCCCTCACTGTGTCCACCACTTCCATGTTTGGGAACGTGGTGGTAAATGTGCTTGTAAACTGGTATGTGGACAGGATACGGCTTGTCTACGTATTCAACATGATGCTTTTCTATTTCAATTTTGAATGGTTTTTCAACGTAAACTGGCACTAACTTCTCTACCTCAATAGGGACTTTCTTCTCAATTTCTTGTGGCACCAACTTGTAGATTGGAACTTCTATTGGATGAGGCACCGGAACATGAACAGCATAGGGTTGTGGTACTGGAACCTTGATTACCTGTGGAGTTGGTACTCCTACAGGATGTGGTACCGGTACTCCAATTTTTTTCACAACTGGAATATGCTCAACCTCAGTCTTCTCGATAGTCTTGGTGGGAATATGATGATGTTCAAATTGTATCTTGGGTTTGAGATCAACGTAATCATCCCCACCGCTATAATCATGTCCATCTAGATTCAACCCGTGGCTGTCAGAGTTGAATTCATGGCCTCCATAGTTCAGTCCATGGTCAGCACCATATGCTGATAACTGACCAGCAGCATCCTGTGAATGGTCTGCTATAGCTGAGTGATATTGTCCTTCTTCTCCAATGCCTTGACTAGCTTGAAATCCTCCTTGCCATTGGGGAAGGTGTCCTCCATCACCTGAAAGAGTCAGCTACGTATGAAACAGGAAGAATAGATATTACGAAAATACTTTTGCTGGGATATGAACTAATGATACTATTTGGCCCTTGATATGGCCCGAAGTGTCCAACGTCCTAGAAGATTGATATTGCATTCATCGTTTACTCAGTCAGTGCATCGATTCTCAAATTGTGTCCCGCTACCCAGGTAGCAGATTGACGTACGATTTACATAATTTATTGGTCACAAAATGACGAAGTGAACATCCTGAAATTACGTCTTAGAGACCCTATAATGACGTCAAAATGTTACAGCTATGAAACGCTATAGTAAGATGTCATACTGACGAAATGAAAAAAAAACATTGAGGTATATATACGGTATTATAGGTTCATGTAACTATGCGTTGTGGTGACTTGGTCGATGGACCTCTTGGGCAGTCCTGTTCAATCATAGCGCTATCATTACTACAGGGTCTCTATAAATAATCGTAACATCGTAGTGGCTGTTCACATTTTCTTCCATTTGCCGCTTTCTACTAATGCTGATAGCAACATTTAACGACCAAAAAGGGAGGAAGTGGTTATATACAGGATCTCTTTTTATATCGTTCCGCATACACTATGGAAATGTATCTCAAAGAAAGAAGAGTCCAATAATGGAGTTTGAAAAATAATGAAACAAATCAAAAATACTCATTAAAGAATAAATAACGGTTTATATTTCATCAACCTACATCAAATGTTCAAAATGTTCTCCGTTGTTCTCCAAGCATTTCAAAACTCTTGGCCGTTTGTTGTCGAAAATAATCCTCAGCTTTTTTCGGGCCAATATTTTGGCAGCAATGTGTTATTGTGGCTTGCAGCTCTTCAAGGTTATTATTGTCTCTCTTGAATACTTCGTCTTTCAAATATCCGAAAAGTCAGGAATCCAAAGGCGTCAAATCTGGAGAACGTGTTGGAAAAGAAGGATTGACTCCTCGACTTATCACACGGTTGTCATAAATTCTTGTTAATATTCTAAATTTGCAAGTGTGGTGTGGGCAGTGGCCCCATCTTGCTGAAAATAGCCAACTCGGATTTCTTCATCATCAAGTTGATTGATGAATGGTTCTAACATCACTTGTCCTGTACCTTTCAGCATTGAAAGTGCCATCGAATAAAATCGGTCCATATATTCGCCTACGAGAAACTGCTAACCACACCCCAATTTTTTGAGAATGTAGTGGAGTCTAAATGAAATTGTGGGGGTTCTCAGATCGCCAAAACCTAAAATTGTGTGAGTTCACGTATCCCGACCAATGAAACCAAGCCTCATCGCTGAAATATGTTAGGTCCAATAGCTGGTCATCGTTGAGATTATTTTGGAACCATTGGCAGTACTCCAGACGACGTGGGATATCTATTGGCAGAAGTTGCTGATGTAGTACACTGGTCTTGTAAGGGTGCATATGCAATCTTTTCTTGAGCACTTCATGGCGTGTACTTAGTGGCACACCATCAGATTGTAAAGATAATCTCTTCAATGACGTTTGGGGATTTTGCTCAACACACGCCCTTAGATTTTCGACAACTTCTTCCGATATTTGGGGCCTTCCTGTTGATCTCTTTTTATTAACGTTTCCAGTTTGGATGAATCTGTTGATTACTGTTCTGATGTGGGCTTTCAAAGAAGATTCTTGAATCTGTACATTAGGATATTTCGCCAGGTACTCATCCTTGCAGGCTACTACCGAGTAACTCCATCCACCATGGATGCATGTGCCGTTTCGACAATAAAACATTACAATAAATGTATTCTGCTCCGAGGAATAAGCCATCCCAGTTTTCAACACGACAATCAAGAAGTAGAAAACAGAATCGTTCGAAAATTTTAACGAAAAACTGACAATATTTATTTATGCAACAAGTGCAAAAAGTGAATGTTTATTGCACACGTCGAGTGCAATAAACAATTTCTGCACGAGTTACATACAACATTTTTTCTACGTTCATGCAAAAAGCAAAAAATTATTCATGGAGGTGCGGCACTAGGTACAATTCTCTCAATTATCAGAATTAATTTTTAACCTCGTTTTTAACTGACGTTTCTATAACCACAGTTGCAATATGAAAAATGTTTGTCATGATGACAGCACGTTGAAGTAGAATGACAGATGAGTGCAATAAAAACTTTTATTTCTGACTGGTATATTATAAGCTTATATCATCTTAGTTACACTATCAATTAGGAGGGTCATAACTCCCTTGGGATGTTATAGATGCTATAATTCCCTCTAGCTAAAATTAAATAAGAAATGCATAGCAACAACCACGCAATAACGTAGCAATAAGGAATCTCCTATTCGCGGTAGTCAAGATCATCATCTGACGTTCTGATGACATTGAAACTATACGGAAAAACAAGTCTAACTTCCAATCAGAAAGGTATCTAATGAATGAAATCAGTCAGAAATAAAATTATCTATGTATCACGGGAATTATAGAGCCTTAATAACCTCTGGCAATTGCTGTCCCTCGGGCCAGAGGCCCTCGGGACGCAAATTTTGCCATCGGTAATTAAGGCCCTCATAATTCCCTTAATACATAAATAACTATATCGCACTAAGTGCAATAAATAACTTTTTTTCCATCAAATATAGTTCAATAAAGTTCTGCTTTTTGCATGAATGTGGAAAAATGTGAGTTTATCAGCTATGACAGTATAATGATTGATGTCAGAAATCAAATTCGAATGTGTTGATCTCCATAAATGGAAGGCAGCAAATGAAGAAGAAATTTCAACGGCTACTACGATGTTACGATCATTTATAGAAACCCTGTACCTACGCATCTCCATATAACACTATCGTCAGCTATTTAAATCTGTACCTGAAATTATGTAGCGAGCGTCGGCGAGATGTGAATAAATTCATTCTCAGACAAACTATCTATTCCCGAGAAAGGACCCCGCACTTTTTCTATATAAAAATGGCGTTCCGTCGAATTTCCCCAATTTTTGGTAAATGATAGTACTCGACATACTGATTGAATATGCCAAGTCCCAACTCAATCCTATGACTAGTTTACGAGATACAGGGTGTTGAAGTTGAAGAATACCTAATTTTTCTCGGCCTATATCTCTAAGATAGGACAAATGAATTCCAATTTTTCGGGAGCACGTAATAGTTATGCCCTTAGGCGCAAGAACTATATAGGTATTCGACCAAAACTGATTTTTATTACAGGGTGATTCTCATTTCAAATAATGTGTTTTTTTGAATATCTGAATATCAATGCTACAAATTGATAACAATTACAAAATGAGATTTATAGCCAAGTATGCTCTTCTTACATCAATTGAATTCGTAAAATATAATAATTATACATGGTGTTTCATTAATGCTGTTGATTGCATAATTGGTCTATCCTAAAGTTCATTGGGCCACCTCGTATTATCGGGTTGATTCCAGACATTCAAAATATTTTTGAAGGATGTATCCCAATGAGTTCCATGATATACAGAGTGATTCATCGATTGAAAAAATTGACAACCACGAAAAAATATTCAAAAACCACTATTTTTTTCATCACCCTCTAATTCGAAATTATTACCGTCGATGTAAGATTTTTTTCCACCAATATACTCAGTATGGATATTTCAATCAAATTGGGAATTTTCAGACCCATGCTATGACTAGTTTTTTTTATACATCGAATAATGTGAAAATAATTATGGAAAAGTAATTACATAATAACACGAAAAATTGCTCCGAATCGCAAAACTAGTAGTCACTAGTCAACTATGTCAAAAAATGTGATTTGTTCGTAAACAAAATCTAGTGGTCTTATTATAGGTCCGCTAGCAAAACATCTCGAAAATGTTTTTCAGAAAACATCAAACAAATCACAATATGCCCCCGAAAAAATCTCATCAACGACACAACTCATCAACGATCCCACTCATATAAACGTGCTAAAACTCATGAGCGTTCCAAGTCGACAGCGGTTTTTCCCAACTCAATCCTATGACTATACTTTTCGAAAAAAATATGAAACTAAACTTCCGCAAACGCCTAGTGAGAGGTGCGCGTTAATATATTTTGCAACTCTCCTTTATCCAACCAACTTCCAATCTTTTGATCATACTGTATATTGTTAGAATCGAAGTTAGTATATGCACATCGCAAAGACACTAAAGTTGGAGTTTTGGTTATGTAGATATTCGTTACCGGGTTCAGTATAGACTTGAAAGAAAAATGGAATACAGGAACATCAGTAGGTACCGAGGAATCATCATTTATCCAACACATCAAAAATATAGTAAAATAATAATGAAACAATCTCGAAGCCTCTTTCTTCCACTCAATATCAATTCAGAATTGCAATCATAGATTTTGAAAAAATACATGAACCAACTCGTTTTCCAACAACATCTATTTGTTGGAAGAAATAGTGGCATTAGGTAATGTATATCGTAAGATATACATACCGTAATAGATCGATAGACATCCTCAAATAACTATAAAATTATATTTTAGGGTAAGTTCTAGTCCCAATTCAAGTTGACAACTGATATTTTCGGAATCGGCGGGGTCGAATTAGTCTAGAAACTTGGGTTGTCACGAATTAATAAGTATGTTTTACTTCGTAGAAGTCGAATTTGGATTATCGCAACCAGATAGAATATTTTTCAGTAGGCTTAGAAAACAAAATCATGATATCAATAAATGTGTCTGTCATCCAGCAACTTTCGGGTTGTCAGTATCTTAAAATATCATATCAGCGTATATCTTTATTCTGAGTGTTTTTTAAGTCGTTTTCAGTAATTGTTTAGTGAATTTAGTGCGCATTATGGCATTTGCAAATAGGGTAAGATGTTATGTAGGTATGCGAAGGGAATTTCATTCCTAGACTCACAATTCGTATAAATCGTGAAGATAATGTTGATTTTCTGCAAATTGCAACATTTAGAAGACAAGCTGCTGGAAATCCTCCAATTGACATTTTTGATGATACCAGAGTTTGTTTCAATTGTCA